TCAGAGTTCCCTTGATCGGGACCTCTCTGACCGCAGTTCGATTTGAGCCCTATTCAGGACCACGGCCGCAACCACTGGATGTCTCTGCGTACGGTAATCATAGTAGCGCCCGAGCAAGAGGCTTCGAGACCCCCATGCCTTCCCCCTCAGGCTACTCCATTGTCTCTGCAGATGGTGCCCCATCATTGATCACCGACACCGAATCCGAAACCAGGTCACCTCATGGTGCGGCGTCACCTCTGGACATTACGCTTGCCCCACTCGTAGGAAGCAGGGAAGAGCGTAAGAGTTCAAATCCCCGCTACTTGCCTTCAAATGGTTTCGCGCCTGAGGACGATGCTCACTACGACATCTACAGGCGGCGTGGTTCACTACAGCTTCCTCCCATGCAGCGCAGTGAAACGACAGCATCTCATGTCATGTCGTCATTCAGGGAGCAACCTTACGAACGCCCAGAGCGACCACAGCTACTCACTATGCCCGCTCCTCAACTCACCCATCATCACTCTCTTCCTCAATCATCACCGATCAGTATACCTCAATGGTCGCTTCCTCCCTTCCATTCACTCACGGAGCCATTGATACCCCCGCCCAAATCTGCCAGTGTGGCGACGAGCCCATCGGCACGACAACTACCCACTCCGTATGCGCTTCCAGCGTTACCATCCCCAGTCAAGAGCGCTCCCGTATCACCAAGAGATCGGATGAGCCTCCGCAATATAATGTAGATGTCAATCATGTTCAAGCTCATTCAGTATATCCCTTCTTGTCTATATACCATGTGTCTCGCACATATACTTCTATTAATGGTCGATGACCAATGATCAAACTTTCTATTATCTCAATTCTATCCAAGATGTCAATTTCTGTCATCTATGAACCAAAAAGGGAGGAATGGATTTCACATGGTCGTTACAGGATACCCCATGCAGGCCTCAGGGGATTGGGTGGATATTTGGGTTCGCTGGGACCTCCCATTTTGTTTTCAAGCCGAATTCTTTAGGGTTCATGTGAGCCAGTTGAGGAACCGAAGGACATCGGCTTTCTGTCGCGATAGTCTATATGAGCGCATAATACCCAATAGTGCACAGCACTTGCTTATTGCAGTCATTATTCAGCAATCAAGAATCAAGAATTTGCACTTGTCAAGCAGCCCATGTTCACTATTTTCATTCCGAGCAACCAACTTGCCTCGGGATGCCACCTGCTAACCAGTGCCATCTTTCCATATGCGAGCATAGGCACTCACATTGCAAAACTCAGTGCTCAACACCCGTTCGATCTGTCGATTAGATCGATCAGACTACATAATCATTCTCGCTCAGATATTCGTACCGCCAGTGGAATCTTACTTGGTATTGGCTCATCTCTTCTCACGTTGCGCCAAAATCAACCGTTGTAGAATCAATGATTGGCCGCCCCTTTTCCGGTTTCTGTCCCCAAAGAGAAGGTGGAGCAGCGCCAGCTGGCATATCTGCAGCATCGATTATCTATGTCACCGAGCCTCTTGCAGCACTATTGTCCAGTGACCGGTGCAAGGCCGCGTCAGGCACTGTACCGCACTGGCTCCATTTCAGTGAGCAACGATCAGCGACGACATGTCTGGTACACACTGCGGCAGAGGCAAGGGGTATCAACCAGATTGCACTTATTAGCATCACCAGCCCAAACAAACGACGATGTACAAATGAGGAAGAGCCCAAACCTCGCCATCTGCCGCCTCAACCACGGTTCCTCTCAGCGCCATGAGTCCACGTTCCCTCGATCCACATTGTGGAACTAACAACGGCTCCAGCGGACGAAGCGTCAGAGATCTCTATTTGGGTTGCGGTCGGTGCGGCACGTCCAGCCAGGACGAGACACCATCACCATCAAGCGCCAAGTATACTATCAAAAGTCAACGTTGGCTTTCCAATCCTACATTGGCGCTCACAGTCGCCGACTGTAAGCACATATCTATTGGACACTACAAGCACTCGATCATGCAGTTGCACGTTACCTTAACCTCATCGAGATTATAGGCTTTGCGGGACTCGCGTGTAGCGCGCAACACTGTCAACAAACGAACATGCAGAAACGGAATTGTACTGGTTACCTTACCTATAAAGGTGGATGAAGGGTACTGCATGCGGTATAGTATCTACTTCAGCGACGCAATGGAGAAGTAGGTGTGCAGATTCAGTGGAGGAGGCTGAACTAGGAGTAAGGTGTTGGTAGCTTGTAAATTTGGCGCCGGCGTCGACGCCGTCGTCGAGGGGTTAGCGAGGCTCCCCGGAGGCTAGAATTAACGCGCCGTTCCCTCCAGTCGACCGAAAACCCCAAATATTCCAAATCATTTTACTTTTTTTCCTTTTGGACGAACAGCCTACCATAATTGCTATAGAGTGTAGAGCTAGGGCGTGTGGCTGTGGATACTTTTGGAGCTAAGGCGAAAATGAACAGCCACAAACTCGTACCCTTGGGACTCTGGGGCAGTTTTTAACGTTTAAAACGATATCGCTACGAAACCATTTCCATATGGGGATGATCGTCGCCATATGTCCATCGCAATCATATGGCTAGCTTAGATCTTCCATGTCTCCCTCTCCACTCGCCCTCCGCTAACGGTGAATGGATGCAGCGGGATATGAGATCATCTACCGCCTTTTCATGCACCTCATACAATCCGCACGATAGTTTACACACATATGTCAACGGACAATGTCGTGGATCACCATGGCTCAAGAGGCGTGTGCATCCACTCCAACTCATGAGACAAGAGTGCACAGTCCCAAAATAACAAACGTTGGAACAGCCTTTACTGGTAACTTCCCACCTCGCCGTCCTTCCCACCAAGGTAATGCCTGCCACACTATTACCCGTGCTGACCAGATGTATCAGTAATAAGGGGGATCATCCAAGCCAAATGCCCAGCTTCCCCTTCCGCAGTGTTTGGACCACAGCGACGGGGAAGGCGTACCAAGCAACACATCAGTGCTGGCCGCACGTACTTCCGCACGTGTGTCTGTGTGTCTTGCAAACGATGCGTTTTATGCTGAGGCCGCCGGCTGTACTTTGCTGCGTGGCCATGTACACAGGTAGTGTTTGTGGAATAAAAGTCAGTGCTACTTCAAGTAGCATCGGTCCGAGCTAGGCCTGCAAAGGGTCGCCAGTGTCGCTGTAGCGAAACGCTGAAGCGGACTGGATTAGCTGCAGTGCTAACGTATCGGACCCGTCAGCATGTAGTGTGTTGTAGGTCACGATGGGAGACAAGAGCGGGTTCTTCTTCGTATCCCATTCCAGGCATACAACCGTTGGCCTTTCGGACAACTTGCAGAGATTTCGCCTGGACCGGCGTTTCGAATCTCTGCCGTTGTCGATTGGCCGTACGGGTTGGGGCTTCGCCTATATCCCTGAAAGCGGGACGTTTAAAGTCATATGCTGGTGCTCACTCGTGTGTTTCGTACATATGGTTGCCTGCCTACCTACCATGATGGAGCCGGTTCGGTGAGCGATGCCACGCAAAGCAGGCTGCCTCCATGTTGCCGGTGTCTCAACTAAGATGCGAACCCGATGTCCGTAGAGTAGCTACGCACGGGTCCAGTCATCTCAAGCCGTAGAAAGGCAGGTTTCGCATACACCCAACTGCCTTGAACAAGTGCCAGTACTCGGTGAGCCCGCTGGCTTCGGAGACAAGTCTCCGTCTGCTGGCCGGGTGACCTCGTAACCGGAGTCCCAATTTGTGCTGAGACATGGGTCAGATGGCTTTGCTGGGCTATGGGAAAGCAGGAAGGATTGAGGGTTTTGCTACTGCTGTTGCTCTCTGCCATTTCGCTATACTTAGCATCGCATTTCAGCCTACCGCTTCTTCATGGCTGGAACCAGGTTCGACATACTGGACGCCTCTCTCTTTCCTGCATGCTCAGCCTACCATGTTCAGCTCCCGAATCACGGTGGTCTCGATTTGGTATCGATTAACGACTAAAATTCGGCATACTATGTTCAGCTCGCCAGTCATTACATCCTTACTCTAGCATTGCATAACGCCTAGAACTCAGGCTCGGTGAAGCCGCATTCAAGAAAGCCATGAGAGTCGCCTTAAGCGGTCCGCATGCGTCCGTCTTTGTTCCAGATTCGCGGCAGTTGCAAGATCTTCAATCCACTAAAGAAAAACCCCAGACGATATGCCTACTCTCCCCACGTTTCCCCCCCATCTCACCACTTGTCCACGCAGAACACCGCAAGCATCTCTCTACGCCGCAAGCGCGCAGCTGCATGCCTCGCTCCAAAATAAAATCCTAGGAGTTAGACACGACGTTGTACAATGTTGGTATTGTACGGGTCCGGGATGCGCCTCGCTTATAGACTCCAGCAGTCCGGTCGATGGCTACACGGAAGTCGGTATCTGCACACCCTGCACTATAGTGATCACAATTAAGTACGGATGACAGTCTGTCCCGTAACGTGATCCACCACCGAGCGCCCACCCCCACCAAGCGCCCACCAACACCAAAATCACCAAATTTTCAACACTAAATTTCTTAACAACTATAGCACCTATTAATAACACGCTTATAGTAATTAAATCCTTAACTCTTAGAGAAGATTTTATATACTTAGAAATAGTAGAAAAGTATAGTTACTTGTAGTTAACCTTATCTAGACACTACTAGAAAATTTAGTAGGCGTGTACTACTACTCTACTAAATAGTTAAATACTTAATACTATATAAGAAAGTAAGCTTATAAAGTATATTAAAAAGCTTTATAGGTAAGGATTACCCCCTATATAGACTATTATTTAAAATTTTATAACTAAAATAATAGGGAATCTAGTAGGTAAAAATTAGGTATAGCGCTTTATTAACTACTATAATATTAATTTTATCTCCTATTAGGCTACTAGGCTTAATTATAACTACTTTAAAGCTAATTCTACCTTTAAGTATAGCTTATACTTTAAGCTTTTATACTAAAAAATAGAATAATATAATATTAAGAGTTAGTATATCTATAATATAAATAAGAAGGGTTTTCTTATTAGAGTACTATTAAAAACTAAATATATATTTAATAAGAGCGCCTATAAGCAAAGAAAGATTAGAGCTATACTCTAGGATAGTAATAGGGAGTAGATTACTACTATAGCTTGTATATACGCTAATAGTACTACTCTTACCCCTACTCTTATTTATTAGTCCTAATCTAGAGCTCTATAGGATACCTAGTTATAAGATTTTAACTTATTATAATACTAAGCTTTCTTTATAGGATTACTAAGTAGGTAGATAAGCTATACCTTAGGGGTATCCTAGCTTAAGGAGGTGTTTAATTGCAAGATAAAAGCTAAAGCTTATACTTTATACTAGCTCCTTATCCTTAATAGCTATAGATCTTATATAATAATAGAGTTTATTAAGTACTATAATAAATATAAGATCCTACTTATAATATATCCCCCTTATAGCACTTACACCCTTTAGCTACTTAATATTATAGTATTTGCTCCCTTTGTAGCTTTATATAAAGTGTGGAAATTTAGATCACTAAGGTTAGGAATAATTTGGGAGATAGATTATTAGATTATATCTACTACGATCGTACTTATATATATAGAGCTTTAGCTACCCTTATTAGAAGGTGAATAATTAGTAAACCTTCCTTACTAGAGCTCCTGCTTTTTATTAGGCACTTAGTAGTAAGCTAGCAGTTAATTAGATAGTAGGTTATATAGGGGTATTAATTAGGGTTAATTAGATTAAGATACTCTATAATCTAGTTAATATCCCTCCTATAACACACCCCCTAGGTATAGGTAGATCTTTTATTATTATAGTTACGCTTATAGTTAGTAGGTAGTATAGCTAATTAGAGCGTTATATATCTAAAGGGTTAAATTAGCTTACCTTTTAGATACTAACTAGCGCGCCTTCCTTATTTAGCCTATACTTACGCGCGTAGATATTATCTAGACTAAGCTCTATAACTCTATCTACCTAACTATAATCTTTTACTATAGCTTAAATTATAAGATTATATAACCTTAAAGATCTAAACTATACTTATATCCTTACTAACCTATATCTTAGTTAAAGTTAAAAACTACTACTTACGCTTACTCTACTTATACTACCCTTATTACCTCCTATATAGCTAAAGCTATAGTTACTAAAGCTACTACTACTAAAGAAAAGCGTACTACTACTAAGCGTAAGGCTATTATAGAGCGTGTAGTAGCTAAATATATAGCTACTACTACTATAGTTAAGATTATAAAGCTAAGGAAGGTTACTCCTACTCTAGCTCCTACTACTCTAGCTCTAACTCTAGCTCCTGCTCCTCCCTAGACCCTACCTTATATCCCTGCTCCTGCTCCCTCTCTAGCTCCTAAGGAGACCCTAAGATCCTCCTATTATAGTAAGCCTAGTATTTATTATACTAAAACTTATCTAAATTATTTACGCTCTACGCTCTTTAATAAGTCTAATAGTAAGTGCTATAACTCTTCTAGTAGGGGGACTTAGTACTAGTAGTGCTCCTTTAGGTATAGCTATATTCTAATATATATAATCTATATAAGAATTTTTCCTTTATAATACTTTAGTAAGATCTTATACTAATAAACTAATAGCCCTAAGCTTGCCTAATATTCTACGCTATCCTTCCTAGTAAGGAAGTAGGTAGGTAAGAGCTAAGACCTTCTTAAGGATAAGAAGTAGAGGGTCTTAGTGCTCCTTAAGGAGAGTAAGGCTAAGTAGCAGGAGCTAGTAAAAGCTGCTACTACTACTACTAAGCTTGCGTGTAAGGCTACTACTATAGCTAAGGGTGCCTAGAGCTCCTTATTAGAAGATAAGAACTCTAGCTCCTCTAAGGTTCCTCCTATAGATCCTAGGTTAGAGTAACCTAGGTAGCTCCCTATAGACTCTAAGGCACGCTTTACACGCGTAATAGAGCTCCTTAAAGAAGCTACCTAGTTAATAATAGAGAGGTAGGCTATAGTTAGTTATTTTTATATTATATATTAATAGATCTTATATACTACCTTACTTTAATTAATACTATATAATATATACTCTACTATTATATAACTTTAGGTACTCCCTAAACCTTATAAATTATTATATAGTTAGGTTTTTAGTAAGCCTATTAGCTAGCATGTTACTAGTAGGTAGGTAGGTAATATAGAAAGATCCCTTTTTATACTCTTATCTAAGCTATATATTTTAAATATCTATATAGCATAGCTTAGTAGTAATCCTTTTATTATTACCTACTACTAACCTAATAGTTTATTAATTATTATAATTAATTATCTAGGTAGTATCTAAAGTAAGGTGTATTTTAGTTAAAAAGTATTTTAACGCTATTACTTCTTTACTTACTTGCTTAAGTGCAAGGAGCTCTACCTTAGTAGTTAAAGTAGTAATAGTTGCTTATTAAGCTACCTTCTAAATAATAGGTCCTCTAAAGAGCGTAATTAGGTATCTATATAATAATTGCTAAGTATTAATATTATTAGTAAATAACGCATTACTATATATTATAAGCTTATTAGGATCCCTATTCCTATATTAGATTAATTAGTATTAAGTTTAGTATAGATAGATAATTACTTAATTAACTGCATTAAAGTATTATTTAGATAGGTTAGTAAGGTATTAGGAGAGCTAGGAGGCTATATAGGCAATATTAGGGCGCACTATAATTAAGGTGTAAAGGATTAATCTAACGCGCTCCTAATAGTCCTTAATCTCTTTTTTAGTGGCTTCTCCTATGCTCTTTTTAATATCTTTACTTAATAGTAGTATAGTAGGGAATTTTCCTATCTCTACTAGATTAAATTTCTTTGCAATCTTATTAATATATTTATTATAAACAAGTGTTATTATCTATCTCTTTCTATCCTAGATTACTCTTACCCCTAGAAACTAGCTTACAGGTCCCTTTTCTTCTATAGTATATCTTTGCTTTAGAGCTTGGATAACTTTATAAGCTTAGCTTGCGTAGTTTTAGTAATAGAGTAATAGGATATTATCTATATAGAATATTAACAAGATACTACAATCTTTATTAAAGAATAGGTATAGCTCCTCTTTAGAAGTAATAAGCTTATTTTCTTAAAGTGTAGTTAAGAGCTTATTATACTATAATAATAGTAAGTCTTTTAGTCTATATAGAGCTCGTTTAAGCTTAACACACTTCCTAGGTATTTAATATCCTTTAGGTAGCTTATAGATAACTATAGGGTGTTAATCCCTTAAGGCGTTAAGGAAAGCTCTAACAACGTTATATTAATATATCTTAAGGTTAAACTTAGCTCTAATAGCTATTATAGTCCTAAAGGTTTAAGCTACTAGGGTAGCTATATAGGTTAAATAAATTAAGTTAGTAAGCTATAGATCTCCTCTTACTACTATCCTTGCTTTACACTTAATTAGGTAACTATCCTAATTAAGCTTGTATATAAACACCTATTTAAGTAGAAGTAGACGCTCTCCTTTAGTTAGCCTATTAATCTCCTCCTAGGTACTAGCTTTTAGTAGAGTATTAATTTCTTTATATACTACGTCTCTAAATTGCTATCCTATTTAGTAGTTATAGAGATCCTTCTATTATTTTAGCTCCTTTTGTAGAGCGTCCTAGTGCGTATTTCTTTTAGGGTTTTTAGGGGATTTGCTCCCTATTACTACTATAATTATAGCGTGGATTATAGTATTTAGTTTAGGATATACTAAAAGATTATATAAGGGATTTCTAATTAGATCTATATCTAATAGATCTATTACTATATATATCCCTATACTTATAGAGCCTCCTAGTAGTTTATTAGGGTCCTGTCCCTAAGCTTGCTTACTAACATGCGTTAGTAGTAGTCCTTTAACTTGTGGTTTTCTACTTCTTCTAGGAGCTCTAGGTGCTGCTTGTAAGGGATCTATAGGAGATACAGAATCTAGTCCTAAAGCAGGTAGGTAGGAGCTCTACTTACCACCCCTATAAGAGCTAGATAGGGTGCCCTTACCTATCTCTGTGCTCTTATAGAGTGACCTACTAATAGCACTCTCCCCTCTAGGTCTTTCCTAGGAGCTACCTATTATAGTATTAAAGTAAGTTAGATTACTACTATCTTAGGTAGTAAGACCCTAATCTATAACCTGTATAGATCCTTTATCTCCTATACTAAAGTTTAGTTCTAGTGTTAGTTTAGGAGTTTAGAGCCCTATTAGCTTAGGGGACTTTGCATAGATCCTTTGTACTAAGCTAGCCGTGCTTAGTACCCACGCTAGAGGTGTCTGC